CTCCGAGCGGCTCAGGCTGCCGCCGGCCGCCATCGCCCCGGAACCGCCTCGCTTCCGCTACCGCTCCCAGCACTTCCGCCGCGGGCCGAGCGCGGCGCGCGCCACTTCCGGCACCGCCCGGTGAGCGCGCCGCCCCCCGGCCCGCCCCGCCCAAGGAAGTGCCAGGCCGCGTCTCTTTAAAAGATGTTTATTGGTCATATACAAAATAAAGAAAGCTCATATCGACAAACATACACTATGTACAGCAATAAATAACGCCCGCGGCCGCCCGCCGCCCCGGCGGCCACAATAACTTAGCAATAAATAGGGGGCCGGGGCGGCGGCGGGCCCGGTCCCCGGGGCTTGTGGCGCGGGACACCGGGGTCACTGCACAGCATCACCACGACACACACGGCCCGGGGCTGCCGGGAACACGGGAGCAAACACGACACCCTCATGGCGCAACCAGACGGACGAGCACCTCAGACAGGAGCTGTGACGGGCGGGCGCCGCTCGCAGGCTCCAACGCGGCACAGAGCACGGCCAAGCACGAGACACGAGCGGGGCGCAGTGCCGGCCCGGCCAGGCGGCTGCTCCAGCAGGGAGGGCCATGGCCGCGCGGGGCCCGGCCCGGGACGCGCCCCTGGCACCGCTTCTCTCCGCGGCAGGGCCGGGCCTGTAGGGCAAGCGGTGGCCGCGTGGGCCGGGCAGCGCCGGGACCCGCCTGCCGGAGCTGGCGCACAGAGCCCCAGCCCGCGGGACAGGGTCGGCGCCTCAACGCGTCGCCCGCCCCACTGCTCCGGAGGGACGCGGCAAGACCTGCGCCCAGGGGATCCCGCGTCCCGGGGCTCCCCATCCCTGCAGGCCCTGCCTGCACAGCTGGAAGACAAAGATCCCCAATTCCCAGGCAGCCGTGCCCAGTGCTGCGCAGCGCAGCCCACGTGGCCGCAGCGCAGCAGCCGCCTGCCCAACTGCCACTCGCAGAGCGGAGCCCACGGGCGGCGAGCAAGACGCCTGAGGAGGGCTCCGATCCCCTCCTTGTCCAGGGAAACCACCAGGAAAAGCAACCAACAGCTCTTCCCGAAACATAGAAAAAGGGAAGCCCCCCCCAAATCAGCTGCTGCTCTCCAGCCGCACCGCGATCGGGTTCACCCTCCTCTCCGCCATCAGTGAACTCCTTTGCCCACAGAAGAGCAGTCTAAGTTCAGCTATGCGACAACACATCACCAAAAACACATCGCATACGGCAAGCCGTGCCTCCTCCCAAGCCTGCAGCTTCACCGGCACATCCTTATCTATCCCCAATGCTCTGGAGACCTTCAGCGAACAAGAAGTCATCACATGGATTCAGCCCCACATCCTGCCTCTCCAAAACAACTCAACAGTGATCTCCAACCTTTGTGGAGCTGGCAGAGGAGGAAGGGGTCCAAAGTGTTTGTGGAAATGGAGCCTGACCATAAATAGCTTCTCAGACATGTCACACAGCTGTAGTCTAAGCACTCTCCAACACACACGGCTAGAGCTGCACCAGGAAAGAAAGCCACCACGCCACAGATTAATTTTCAGCAATATGCAGACACTCAGCACAAAGGACTCCTGCTTCAAGACCCGTGCAGGTCCAGAACTGCCAAGGGGGCAGACAGACCTGGCAGAGGAGCCGCAGGAGCAGCACAAGTTCTGACCACTGGATCCGAGAAGGAACCCAGAAGTAAATCCCTTCAGCCTCCTCCTCAACTTAGGAAATTCTCCCTTGCATCAGTTCTCCACCAGCTTTGTTGGAGGAGCGAGACAGCAGTTCTGCTGGCAATATTTTTCCCCGTTCGGGTAACGGAGTTACCCAGTGTTAGCTGGTTACAAGAGGCTCGAGCTGCTTGTGCAAAAGGAACAGCCACAATAAGATCCAGGCAGAGAAACAGAGCGCCTGCCCCGTGCCTGGGTGGAAAACAACATTTTCTGGACAGGTGTCACTACTCAGTTAACTGGCCATGGATTTTGTCTTTACAAGAAACAGCAACTTTGCCTGCATGCCAGAAACCCTCCAAAGACTTAGGAGGGCTCCCAAGTCAATCTCCTGCTGAACCCAGGGGAAATGAGGAGAGCACAAAAATGACAACACGTGGCAAAGGCAGCCACCAGCAGCACCACCCTGTAGCCCCAGTCAAGAGCACGGAGAGCACACAGGGGGGCACAACGGAAACCAGCAAGGTCGAGAATAAGTCACTTTTGGTACAATTGCAAAAAGATATCAAACAGGAATTGCCTCTTTTTTTGTCTTTTTTTTCTAAGTTTTATAAATAAAGTGTGATAACTCTTTATAAAAACTAACCTCAGAGCCACAAATGGTTTGCAGGAGGTTCATGAGAAACTTTAAAATTATTTATTTATTAACTTTTAACTAGCAAAGTCTCCAAGAATATTCCCCCATAGCTACGGTCAAACATTCTTGCCCTCTTGGATAAAAAAAAAAAAAAAAAAAAAAAAAAAGCTGGCTATAAATACGCTCTCTCTTCTGTCTGATTTCACTTTTAAGCTTAGATAATTTAATAACTCTTAAAATGATGTTTTTCTCTTTAAATAAAGGGCTCTTTAACCACATAAACTGGTTGTGTAAACCATCACACAAGAGACACTTGATACCCTCAGGACACGGGAACAACTAGTGATTTTGGTCTTGTTCAGTGCAACGCATTAGGCACAAAACCGGCCTGCAGCCAAGGCGGTACCTTCCCGCTGCCCGGGGTTCCGGGCCCCCATCCCGGCTCCTGCCCCGCACCACAGTGCCAGCTGCCGAGCACCGCGGCCCCTTCCCTTCCACTGCTCCAGCCGGCGCCGAGGAAGCCCGAGGGAAACCCACTGCTGGGCACAGAGGCACACCTAGAGACGAACACAAAACCAATTACACACGACACCCTGACCGCAACCACTGGTACCAAACAAGACGAAAAGCAGCAGGTTTGGGCACCGGCCAGGCAGGCCCCGGACGCACCGCCTGGATAATGTAACTAAGCCTTTGGGACGCGACTGGCATTGGGGCTCCCGACACGGTCCAGGAGAAGGCCTCCCCCCAGGGCTGCCTCCCGCGCCCCTCCTGCGGCCTCTCCTCAGCCCGGGGGGCTGCAGACCCCGCACAGGAGGAGGAACCACCTGCACGGGACACGGGACACACCACCAGTGCTCACATTGATTCGAACACAACAAAACAAAACCGGAGTGATCAGCAGGCCGGCCGCGGGCCAAGCGGGAGGAACCTGGACCCGTGCGGGAGGGTTTGTGCTTTGGGGATTCCAGGCTGGTTTTGTGCCTAATTGCCCTGCACAGACAAGCTCAGGCGACACTCACTTCACTAGGACCGGGCGTCCGTTTTGGATTTCACTATTGTGATGACACTAGTAGTGGCAACCTTGCCAGGGACCAGGGGCCCCATGCTGGAGGAAAGCGGCCCCCGCACGGGGGTCACGGGGCTCCGGGCCACGGTTCTAGCGAAGTTCTGGAGCGCCTCATATTTAGAGCGGAGAGCATCCAGTTCCATTTTCATGCTGGCGTTCTCGGAGGCGAGCTTCTCCACTTCCTGCTGCAGCTCAGCTTTCTGCTTCTCCAGTTCCTCCTTCTGGGTTACGCGCTTGACTCTGCAGCTGGCGGCGTAGCCCCGGTTCTTCAGCGTGCGCCGGCGCTGCTTCAGCTGGATGATCTCCTCCTTGGACAGGCCCCGCAGATGCTGGTTCAGCTCCCGCACAGACATGGTCACCAGTTCCTCATCCGTCAGGCTGGTCCCATTTTCGCCTGGCTCTCGCTTCACCTGGGGAGAGGAGGGAGGGCTGCTGGAGGCCGCGGCAGCGCCGTGCCCGCCGCCCGTGCCCCGGCGCCCGCCTCACCTTTAAGGCCTTGTTTCCTTTATTGGGGGTCGTCATAACCCGGAGCCTCGTCAGTCACCCTCTGCAAGACAAGAGGAGGAAGAGAAGGTCAGAGCAGCTCCCTGGGGTGCGACAGAGCCCACAGAGATGCCCTTTGCCAGCGCACATCCCCACAGCCCTCCAGGCACCCGACCCAACAGGACTCACAGGCAGCGGGCCGCGTCCTTCAGCGGGAACGGCTGCCGCTCATCTATCCTTCCACACCCCTATTCCCACGGAGACTGGTGGCAATGCTGCTTTTTGCTTGGAGCGGGGGAAATTAAAACACGGGGAGGAGTCAGAATACACGGAAGCCACGTTTTTAAAAATAGCCTGGCAGGCGGCAGGCTCGGTCCAGAGCACGGCTGCTCCAGGCCAGTCATGCTGACTCAGCAGCCTGGCAGCCCTTGGCCTCCTGCTCCCAACCCCATCCTCGCAATTCCTGAGCGCCAGCGCCTCTTCGGAAAGCGCCCGAGCAGCCCAGGACTTGGGAGCCCCAGGGAAACAGACCCTGGATGTTCCCAGGGACGCACAGCGGAGCCGCCTGGGCAGGTGGAGCAGGGAAAGCTGCTCTGTGCCCCCGCGCACCCCATGGAGCATCCCCTGGCAGGATGCTGCAGCTCCTGCTCAGACCTTCCCTGCTTCCCAGGGAGACCAGCACATCCAGGGGGAGGCAAAAGCTCTGTCCCGAGCCAGGACAACCTGCTCCTGCAACACAAGCACGAGGCCCCGTCACAACCTCGTCGACACCCCAGCGGCCCTCAGCTCTCCCAGCCAGATGTTCCTGAAAGGAAGGACCCCCAGCTGGCAGCCTCAGGCAATGCTAGGGCGCACAACCGCTTTTCCCTCCCTCATCTCAGGGCCAAGCTTTGCTCCTAAGAAAGCAAAGATGAAGGTGTGCCAGGAGTAGCGGGGAGCAGACCCAGTCACTGGGGAGACACCTCAGAGCCAAGGGCAGCAATTCCCAGGTCTGTTTTCACAGCAAATCACACCCAAAATCTGATTCTGCCTCCGGGCACCTCCCCCTCAGGCTTTAGGTCAGGATGTTGACCTGCAGCCCAGTGAGTTGAATCCTCTCCAATATCATTCAACAGACACAACAGCGTGTCTAACAACCAGTATCTGGTTGCAAAGATTCTCATGCACATCTAGTCCATAAACACCTTCACGCTGGCGGTCTCCTCAGCGCCTGTCGACAACAGCGAGTCCTCCCGCGTAGCTGCTATTTCGCTGGAGCGGAAAGAGGGCTACAGGCGAGGGCCACGCGCGCAGGTCAGCGATAGCAAACTGGGCTCTTGTGGCAGGGGCTCAGGCTGGCTGCAACACGGCCACCGCTGCCCCACAGAGGTGAGCGGGGCCGCGTCCTCCAGGACGCGCAGGCAGGTGACACGCAGGCGCTCCGGCTCGGAGCCTGCTGGGAGCCGGGCTATTTATACCCCGAGGACAATGCTCCTTGCAGCACGGCGCCGCTACCACCTGACAGCGTGGTGCGGAAAGGTCACTTTGGCGGCCAGGGAAGCCAGCTGCGAGGCAGCAGGCGAGCGCAGGATGTGCAGCACGGACAGCAGCCACTCTGCAAGAATCAATTCTCCCCTTTTCCTTAAACCATTGTGTTTCTTTTCTCTGCTCCTACTAGCAAATGGCAGGGCTGCTGGGAAGAGGAGTGGGAGAAAGAACTCAGCTGGGGAGAGTAGCATGGCCGAGCAGCGAGCACAGGGGAGCCGGTGGCCCCGCACAGCTCCGGCCCCTCGGCAGCCTCCTGCCTCCCTCCTCGCGGCAGTGCCGACAGCAAACATGAGGCCACAAGCGCTGCGGCCGGGGAGCACCTGGAGGGCAGGCTGGACCCCCAAGGCACCGTCACTGCCCCTAAAGCTACAGGAATCCACACAGAATTCCAGGGAACAGCTTAGCACAGAGGAAGGAAACTGAATATTCAAATGTAGGGGCAAACCTGCTCAGCAACACCCTTTATCAGGGGAAGGCAGAAGTTTATCAAACAGATCGCAGGAGCCACCTGGAAACCTTCTCCTGTCCACATCACAGCTACAAACTGATAAAGTGCTTTTTTTTTTTTTTTTTTCTTTCAAATGTATATTTATGAATGGATTGTGTGAGTGAAGGGACCTTCTGGTAAACTCCACCTGCTTTCCAAACCCACACGTAGCTGCTCCCAGACCAACTGCTGCTCAGAAGGGAACCATGAGGAGCTGGGAGACACCCAACACCCTGCAAGAAGCCACAGAGTCATGAGGGAGGCAACAGCGGACGAGAGACTGGTCCTAGTCCCCAACAACAGTAGCTTAACCATTTTTTATGGTAAGAGTCAAGCACCTCCCAGGCGGAGGAACCCAGCCTTGTCTGGCCCTGTTGCAGGGAGCACCAGCCTCCCTGCAGAGCCTACGAGGCTGCAGCAAGACCTCGCCTGATGGCTCCACGTCCCAGACCCCCTCCAAGAGGTCAGCGATGGGGAGAACTGGCAGGCAAGCCCCTCCAGAGAGCAGGAGGAAGATCCTGGCTGTTCTCCAGCCCCGCTCCAAGGATCAGAGCCCGACCTGCCCGGCAGCGCAGAGGACGCCCAGGCCGAGGCAGGGGCCAGGCTGGCCTGGCTCTGCAGACTGCTGACTCCGGCTTTCGGTGCCTTCCCGAAGAAGGATCGCGCTGAAAAGTGCCAAACGCAACGACTGCAGCGAGGAAAATGCAGCCTCGACACATTTCGGCAGCGCTGGAAAGGCCTGAACTCAGCACAAGCGGCGCCAACTCCCCGCTGGCGGGCGCTGCCCACGGAGCCCCGCGGCCCCGCTCCGCGGCCCGGTAACGCGGTGACGTCACCGTCCCGTCGCGGAGCGGGGAGGGCGCTCGGCGGCACCGCGCGGCAGAGCCGCCGCCGGGAGCTCCACGCGCGCGCCGGCTCTGCACGGGAGCCCCCGGGAATCGCCCTTGCCCCGGTCCTGGTGCAGCCCGGGCCACTCGTGCCGGCGCGTCCCGCTCCCCGCCCGCTGCGACGGCCCTCGGCGGGCGGCTGAGCCACCCGCTCCCGCGCGGGCGCCGTCCCGGAGCACCAGG